GCTGGGAGAAAGCTGGTCTTGGGCATCTAACTGGACACACAAAATCACCTTAAATCTCTTTGAGGATCACCTGGGTGAATTCCTGTAGTATGTGGAAAATGCCATCTCCTCATACCACATATCTGTTGCAAAGCATTTGGATAGAATAGTGAACAACACTTGAAAAAACTTAGGAACAACTCTGTATTCAAGGCTGTTCTCATAACTATATTTCCCTCTGTATTTTGGGATGTAAAGTAGGCAAACAAAAATATTTACTTTCTCTATACAGCTATTTATACAATCAAATTGTATAAACAAGTAGCAATGTCTTGTTATCTTCTAGCTGGAAATGAGGCTTAGCTGAAATTTGTGCTGGGATCAGGGGTTGGGAAGAGTATGGAGTTGGCTTGTACCCAAGGCTTGTGGGAGACTTGTGATGAAATATAGTTGAAATAGATCCTGTGTACTGCTGGTTTACCCCCAGGGCCTTTTGGTACATAAGCAAGGTCTGAGGAAATCTAGCAGTAGTACTAGTTTTTCCGTACTTAATTCTTAGTATCAGAGGAGGCAGTTGGGGTAATTCTGGGCCATGAACTGATCATGCAGTACAAGGATGACCATCATATAATGATTTGGGCTGGAAGGGACCTTAAAGCTCATCTAGTTCCACCCTCTGCCATGGGCAGGGACAAATTCCAGCAGACCAGGTTGTTCAGAGCCCCATCCAACCTGGCCTGAAACACTTCCAGGGATGGAGTAGCCACAGCTTTTCTGGGCAACCTGTTATTTGTTATGTACTACATGGATGTGTTGGTGCTTGGAGTAATTATTAATGGTGAAGCTAATTTTAAAATGAAATCAATACCTTTTTCTGTCTCATTTTGCCCATAAGAGTTATGAGAAAGGAAGTGCCTCACTTATATTTTGCAATTCCTCTTTGTTCTCTAAGATTTCCTTATAAATACTATGGGCAAGGAAAAGGTATCCAGACGTAGAGTAGCATAGTAGCTACTTTGTAAATTTTATGCTTTGTAAATGCTTCTTTGAAATAATCTGTGTGGTTTGTAACATCAAACACATGTAAGAAATGTTTGCCAGATAGGAGTTTCAATAGTGAAGTAGAAAGATAAATGTGAATACATCCTAATTTGACAGAGGGAAAGTTACAGCTTTATTTGTTAAGTTAAAGTTGAAAAACAGAACAAAAAAGCATTGCTATTATACAGCACATTGGTGTATGTTTATAGATACATAAAAGGGCATAAATATGTATACCCCTCAAATACATATGGATACTACCTGAATAACCAATGTCGAAATAACTTGCTATTTAAATGTTCCTTCACTTTTGTTTGTAGCGTGTGAGAAAATGGATGTAACAGGATACTGCAGGGATCTAATCAAGATACTTGAGCAAGCTGAAAGCATGAGTGAGAAGCTCACCCCCCTGAAACTGATCGATGCCTGGTCTGGGAAAGGTGTGTCTAAATTCAGGGTGGCTGAAGTGACTCCACCCAAGCACCCTCGGGAGGAGCTGGAGAGAATTGTTGCCCATTTCCTGCTGCAACAGTATCTGAAGTAAGATGAGTAGTTTTGGTTTTGTTTTCTTTTGTATTTTTAATACCTAGTAGTCATTTTCCTTTATTCTTGTTACTTCTGTATAGTATTAATGGATGCATTCTGTAGTTTTGTTTTTTAGCCTTTATGTCAGATGCCTTTAATGTATTTTTAAAAAATCCTCAAATATTACTGTGTTTGCCCTTCAAAAGCTGGAGGAACATTTGAAATGCTGCATCTGTTGCAATTTTTAAAAGCTAGAGTGCTCTGTGGTCATTTTGAACCTTTAGATCTGCAGCAGGCTTCACTTTGAAGAAATCTGTTGTTCATATATATATATATATATAACCATGTATCTCACTCACATTCCATGGACAAGGGGGGCAAAAGGGACTACCCACGAGTCAGGACAGGGTGGGTAATGTGGAAACTGTAAGAAAGCATAGTGAAAATAACATCAGTGCTGCTTCTGCTGTGTGTGTGTGGTATGTGTTTGTCTCCTCATACAGTTCTACAGGTTAAAATAATACATAAAAATCCAATAATGAATCCCTTTATTTTTGCCTTTTTTTTTTACCTGTTTGTATAGCTAACTTCTTATACTCCTAAGGGGGTGAGCAGATGCCTTATTACATTTTTTTTCCTCATTTTCCTCTATGTATCCCAACAGATTGACACATGTGCCTGAGTGTGTGTGTAAAGGTGCACAGACTGAATTATGTGAAGTGTTGACCAGGCTAGCTCTAAATTAACTGTCTAGCCCCTTGAATAGATAAAGCAGGATAAAACTGCTCTTTGGAAATCCATTAGAAAGGTTAATGTGTCCCTTTTGTCATGGAGAGGGTTGTCAAGATTGGAAGGGGCTGCCCAGAGAAGTGGTGGAGTCACCATCCCTGGGGGTGTTCACAAAACCTGTGGCTGTGGCACTGGAGGACATGGCTTAGTGGTGGATTGGGGTTGATGGTTGGACTTGATCTCAGAGGTCTTTTCTAACCTTAGTGATTGTATGATTTCCCCCTGCTAGACAGGCCTGGCCTGTCTTTGCCTCCAGCCTTCCCTTATAACACTGATGTCATTCCTGCAGGGAAGACTTCAGCTTCACAGCATTTGCTACAATATCCTACATGAAGATAGGACCAAAAGCCCATCTGCTGAGAAATGAGGCACATACCATCACCATAGAGGGGACAGCAAACAGGAAAAGTGTGTACAAGGTATTTACATCTGCACTGGTTTACTGCATTGATCTGTTCTCCATTATAGCTTATTTTAATTGTTTGGTGTCAAAATGTTTTTCATAGTAATGCAAACAACAGTCTCTTCTGTTTGCTGTGAGAACATGGGAAGAGAAGGGAAATAATAGTAAGGGTTTTAATAGAATTGTTTATAACTTACAGGACAAACCATCTCAGTCTTCAAATTCAAAGGGAAGCAGAGAAAATGCTCAGACTGTTTCAAGGACTGTGCAAGGTTCAGTGGTGAAGAAGTCACAGGAGCACAAACGGCCAAGCGGTGGTTCCAGCTTAAAAGCAAAGAAGCCTAAGCTTCAGACAGGTGGAGATGACCAACCAGTAGTGATTGACTGAGGTTCACAGATTTGTGAAATCATGTTTGTTTCTCCATGGACACTGCAGTGTGTAAGTTCAGCTTGTGTTTTAGTAATGGGATTGAGGTTTTGGGGGGGTTTTTAATTTTTTAAATAAAAGACAAACAGGGAAACAAGTACCTTTAAAACCTTCAAATCTACAAGAAGTCTAGTAGTGAAGGGGAAAATGCTTCATATCAAATTAATTGGGGCATATCTTATAGCAATGATACAAGATGAAAATTTTCAGCTACAGAATGTTTCTGCCTCCCCTGTCAGCAGGGAGAATATGTAACTGCACCTGAGGCAGAAATACATCCCTGCTGCCTTCCTTTGGTGAACTTCAGTGTTTCCAGAAACAACTGACTGTGCTGACCCAACAGCTGCTGCTGACTGCAAGCACTGCTCAGGCACACATGGGGTTGAGTGCTAGGCTCAATTTTATTTACTTACTTTGGAGATCTTAGCAGCCAAAGATCAGAAAGGCAAGTTCAGACTCGGTAAACACAAGTTCTGGGTGGTTGCTTTTTGGTTCTTCCCTCTCCCCAACATTTACATGTATAACAACTTAAATATAAAACAAACATCGTGCAGAACTTGCTCCTTATTTTTCTGGTAAAATCTTGACAGTGACTAAAGGTTAGTATTTCACCCATTATGTAAGAGGCTTTGGCAAAATGGAATTAATTTAACTAAAAAGTCATTATCTTAAAAAAATTAGAGTGATTTTCTGCGAGAAGTCTCAGTATGTAGTGCCAACTTTGTATTTAGTGGAGTACAACAAACTGCTCCCAGTTTGACCCTAAATAAACAGGAACTACCAAGGAGCAACTGTGGAACAAACCCAAAAGCCAGGATGAAACAACCCACGTCCACGGACAGCCCTGTGGCTTTCAGAGAGGACATTAGGCAATACCTTAAATTGTTGGGCTTTATCACCTAGGCACTAATTAAGCCTAGCAACTAAAAAAGAAGGAGCTTGGTTGAAGCAAACCTGTACATCCACATTGTTGTTACTAAAGTGCATCTTGCACAACTGCACAAGCAGCCAGGGAGCTCCTTATGATTGCAAACAAACCACCTAAACCCCCAGCAGAAACATCACAGTAGGCATTTTGTCACCAGTTATGATTCAACTACCATCACAGCGAGTCAAACTGGAGTGTCGTACTTGCAAAAATTCCTTCCTGGAACCAGTATGCATGAGTGGAAATGATGACCAGGCAGGAGTGACCAGGACACTTAGGCAGTCCCCATGAATTTTCATTAGGTGACTGGAACAGTTGGCTATGAAGAATCCATTGGGATAGAGGACTCACATACAAAATGGCATTCCATACATTCACCAGCTAAGCTAGACACAGCAGCTTTCTCCACAGGGCAGACTGCTGCAGGTGGCCCCCCCATGCTGTTGTGTTACCCTTCCTGGGAGTGCACTGCACCAGTGCAGCTCTCCCACATCACCTGCACAGCTCAAGGGACAAGCAGTTAAAAAGCTGCTCCCACCTGGCATCTTGTCCTGACTGTCACTGTGCAAAGCTTGTGCTTAGCTGAGTATTATTTCAGAAATAAACTTATGGGGGGAAAAGAAAAGGATAAGGCATCCATCTTGCTGTGTATTTGCAGCCCACATTGCAGTGAGGGAGAGCTTTGAGCATCCTGTGCCCTAAGACTGTTCTCCATTCTAGACAAAAACTGTTTGCCAACACTAATCCACTTGCTTTTGTTGCTGCACTTCTATACACATTAAGTTGCCACTCAGTATTTTAACAAGATCAACACAGAATCTTAATAAGGAATCGCATGTGTCCCTCATAATCCCAAGAAAACATTTTCGTAAGATGTATTATTTGGTATCAAAAACTTCATACAAAATGGAAGTGGAGTTTTGTTCAATCGAAATAATCTTCTATATCAATATCTGGATTCAGGAGATCTTCACCATAGGCTGAAAGGTCCATTTGATTTAAAATTAAGTTCTCAAAGGTTTCTTCCAGGTCTGTTTCCCCAATGAGCACAGCTCCCACCATTCGCCCGTTCTGCATCACCACTTTCACATACTCCTGTCCCTTGGTGCATCTCAGCATCAGTTCATGGTCTGAGCCCAAGCCTTGGGCATTGTATTTTCCCAAAACCACCACCTAACAGAAGGAAAAAGCATTCATTAAGAACAGTAGCTTTTGGTGTTTATGCTGCTAACAGTTCTAGGCCTTGAAAGACTGACCTAACAGGAAAATACTTGTCCCTGGGGACCTGCCCCCTCCACTGCCTTCCAACTCCAAAACTCAATTAAATATCTTCACTTTAGACTATCACACACACAAACCAAAGAGTGAACAGTTACCATGCTGAACTGTGTTGAATTTAGCCACGAACAGAACCTTAATGAAATGGAATCTATACAGAAATGCAAAGCAAATCAGTTGTCATTCACCAATTACAATCTGTCATGTATCTGTAAAGATCTTGGCCCTCTTCAGTTTCAGCACTCAAAGTTAGTATGAATGGAGAAAATCTCAGCTAAGATTAATTACTATATGAAGGAAAGTGTTTTGTCAGTATTAAAGCATCTGCTCAGTGTTAGCAGATGAGTATCAGCAAGCAGTGGGTGTTGCTCAGTGGCTGAAGCCTTATACTGTATTTACCTTGTAATTGAAGAACTTTGTGACATGGGCAAATAGTTCAAAGCTGAAATCCATATCAATAGATTCCCCTAAAGTATCTGCTGCCATGCATTTTGCTGCATACCATCCCATCTGCCTAGCCTGAGTCCACAGCCTCATCTGCAAGAGAAAATTGAAGATGTAAATCACAAGACACATCACTGTGCACTGACTGACAATTCTCAGTGCATCCTGAGTGTTTTGCTGATGCTCAGAAGGGCTGGACTTGGCTTCCAGCCACCCAAATAACATTCTCTGTCATGCACACACCCAGGATTACCTACTTGCTCAGACTGATTTCTCTGTCTGTGTGTGTAAGACTGAGCCCACGAGCTGAGGTACCTGGTGCCACACTGGACTGTGCTCCCAGGCTGCCGTGCAGATGTCTCCAGCTGCATACACATCTGGCAGTGATGTGTGCATGTGCTTGTCTACCTTCAGTCCTCCATCTTCACCCACAGCAAACTGAAGTGTTTGCACAGGTCAGCAGTATGAAAAAGAATAATTTTAAATGAGTTCTCCATGTTAATCAACGACCTCATTTGTTATTTTATTACTGATAACCAGAGTGGCAACACCTCCATGGAAGGTACAAAGCAAAAACCCAAAGAACTTAAGCCCCAAAAGAACTCAGTATACTCACATTATTGCCAGCCAGAAATGGTTCAATATTTGGCACAACTCCAGTTGCACTGACGATGAAATTGCATCCATAAATTTTTCCATTAGTTAATTCCACATAGACAGGCCACAGAACTGAAAAAGGGGAAAATTTTGCCCTGAGAATGTAACCAACAGAAGTTATTTCACTATGTCTTACAATAAGATATGAAATAAAAATATCTTGTGAGATAAATAAAAATTTAAAAAAGAAAAATAATCAGAGGTTACCTATAACATATGTTACCTTCACTCAAGAGTAGAGAAAAAAAGATTTTGAAGCTTAGCTCTAACTCCTGCTGTTAACTGTCTCTGGAATTTTCCTAAATCAAAGCCCTCATTTGTAGGGGGAAAATCATGTGTCTTGTGCATGTTCTCTGAATACACAATTGCCAAACATTCTCTTACATATAAATTTACAGATGCACATGAAATGCCACAAAAGCAAGAAGAACATCAAGAGATTGGATGTCCTAGAATCTTATGCTGGAAGCAACTGCCTATGAAAATAGTATTTTAAATATTAATTTTCATTCAGTGGCACTCCTAGGCAGAATTATTCATGAAACAAAGGATATTTTCTTCTGCTTTCTTTGGAGGTTTACTTCAGTGTTGGCACAAAATGTTGATTTTTTTTTCTTCCAACTCTATTATTGATATATGATTTTATCAGACTGCAATGAGGAGGGAATATTCTGCACAAAGGATTTTGGTGACTTTGTGGAGAAAGGTGCTGGCCCATAACATTTTGTAAGTTACCTGTAGCCCATAAATTTGATTACTATAAATTGCTAGGTCTCAATTTATAGAGATCAAGGATTTATGTTCCAAATCTGTATTTGCTTTAGAACAGCAAACAAGATCAAACATGCTCCAGCACTGGTTTATCTCCAGCGTGTTACTTCTCAACAGCACTGGCACTTACCTTCATCTGGTTCTGCATTTCCCTCTCCTTTAGGGAAAGCCAAAGCAGTTTGGTGCAGTTGTACAAATTCTTGCTGTGAGTGTATGTTCTTGACTTCACATAGCATTTCAATGTGCACTTTATGAGAAAACTAAAGAAAGAGTGACAAAATTGTAAACGTAACTAGCAAAAAGAAGATCATTGCTAATAGCAATGTCACCTAAACTGACATGACTAAGCTGGAAAACCCCAACCACATATGCTATCCTAAAGCACAACACATTAGCAGAGTTCCCACTTTTCCCTTTATTTTGGCACAGATCTAACCACAAACAGTGGCAATTTACCTGTTTTTTCAGTAGGTATCTAATGTTCCTTGAAATTTCATGACAATTTAGATTTTTCTGGTGTGCCAGAAAATGTATCCAAGTTCCCCTGAGTTTATACGAAGAGAATTCAAAATTTATTAGAACAGGAAATAAAAGTAAACTCATTTTTCCTGTCTTTCAGGATTTCAAATCCTTCACTTTTCTATCATGAATTATTCTAACAATAATAAGTTTATTTTCTAAATGCTGTAAAAAGAAAATATATTCTGTTCCACCAATCCTTTCTGAGCTCAAGAGAGAAGCTGGCAAGTTACCTCTCTCTGAACTATTTCATGGCCTTGAACTGTTTTATTCTCCACTACACGAACACATCTCCACAGCCAAACCACCACTTACTGAGCTGCTGAATATCCTAACCATCCTTTAGCTGGTGCTCTAAAGCATTTCTGTAGACTCTATGACTGGACATGAAGCTCTTCACAATGCTCATGTCCACCACTGACTCTGCATTCCATTTTCTGCTGTGACAGTAGACTGATGTTCCCTGTACCTCTGCACAAATCCTACTGTCCTGTTTTGCACACAAGAAAAATATGTGTATGGCAGCTAAAACCCAGGACAATAGAGGTACCACTGGTTCTGATCACAGCTAGGATGGACACAATCCTACAGAAACATGTCAGCCATGTATGTTTCCATCTGAAGAGCATCTTGCTCAAGCCACACCAGTGGATGCAGTTAGCCACCTTTTTCCTGAAGCAGAAAATGACATTATTTGTGTTAACATGTTTTGCTGCTTAATTCTGACAAGAGAATCATTCCAAGCACATTTTATTTTCCTTTTTCTAATACTCCTGAAGGTGACATTTCACATTCTGTCATCCTTACCCATTTAAAGCAACACTTGAATGAATGTGTAAGCAAGATTGTGCCCCTACCTCTTTAGTCCCTTTAAGGTGTAAGCCTTCATGCCAGTCAGGGCCTAAGGCACTGCCTGGTTTGTCAGATGCTGCTGTAGGTCTCTCTTTTTCCTCAGTTCCTGAAGGAAAAAATGGAGTATATCAGACTTAGCATCCATACTTTCTTGCCCTCAGAATTCAGAACGAGGATTCTCAGCTAACAGAAATGTGATGTGGTTGCCAGTAGGGAAGAAAAAATGTGCAGTATCCCAAATCACTAATTTGCAGACAAATCAGGCTCCAAGCCAGCACTTCTAACACCCTTTAGCTTCCTGCCTTTCATCAGTTCCCTCATCTACACAGCCATGGCACTGGGAGGTGCCTGCATGGACCCCTACCAGCCAGTCAGACCCCAACAGCAGCAGGTTCTGAGCATGCTGTTGTGTGTCTACACAAATTCTGGATGAGTTTTTATATTGCCTTTTTACTTTGAGTTTGTTAAAGAAGGAATTGTCATTAATGATAACAGTAAACCTTATTTAGGGCCTGATAAATTAAGCACTTTTAGGACTATCTTCAATATTAAGTGCTGTTTGCAGTGTTAGGACACTAACACACATACCTTGCACTGTGTATTTGGTTCTTTTACACTCGATTGGAGTCTCTCTGTTTTCAGCACTTAGCTTTGGAATGAGAAATTCAGCTGCTCCTGCATCAAAAAAAGTGTTCCCAATGGCTTTGTCTTTGATGGCCCAGATTACTTCACAGCCTTGAATTTCATACCTGTGAACATTTAAACAGTGGATAAAGTGACAGATTACCTGAAAAGGATCTGACTGTTAGCAACACAAGTAGAAATGTGTCAGGATTCCTTCCAGAAGCCAGAACTAAGGGATCCAAGACTTTTAAACCTCTCAAATTCACTTCTGCTTCAAAATATTTACACAAAGAACCCATTAAAACAAAATCTCTTCAAGCTGACAGATCATACTTTCTCACCAGTAGCACCTTGACCAAACTGGGGCAGAGGGTGAGGACAGGAAGATCAAATTAATTATAATAATGATAATATTTAGTATTTCCTGCTCCCCATAATGAAAAAGAACAGCATTTTTGCCATGCTGTCCACTGCTAGGAAGAGGCACTTGGATCCTGTCTGTGCTGTATGGAACATGAACTGTGTATTCTTGATATCTATGTGTCAAAGCTGCTTCTGAAGCTCTCCTAATTTTATGTTCCGTGAGCACCACTATACTGTGAAAAAATAACTGCCATCAGTTTTGCTATTAAATGCTTTAAGAGCTACAATTTTATACGTCAAACTTCTCCCAAATTCCTGTACACTAGATTGAACATTGCATTGTTAAAAGATTTTATTTAAATATGTATCTTTACTTACACTAATTCAAGGGCAATGCCACCATTTCCTACCACTGCTATCCTCTCAGCTTGAGCCAAATTCTTCTGAAAAGCCTGCATTGGGAGAGGAAGAAAGTCAGTGACAACCTAGATCATATGTTCCCTCACACTGATCAATCACACCTTTTGCAGTATTTTCTTGCTCTTAGTCTCATTTTTTTCTCAGACTAATGACACACACCTAGTTATACTGTACAGAAGCCAACGAAACCTGTGCAGTTCAATCACGTTAAGAGATGAAGTTCCTGACAACCTTTACACAGACAGGAAAAATTAAATAATTACATTTAAGCCAGTTAGACTGAGCTCTTGGAAGTCCCCAGGATTCTGTTCTCTGTCTCAGAGACTGATGATATTTAATATCCAGTTTTATTACAACTTGCAGAACTCTCACAGTAATTTGCATAATATTAACAGGAAAGTAAGAAGCAATAGAAATACAGCCCAGACAGTGTATTTTACACCACAGTATAACCACTTCAAATATATAATAACAAACCAACTTATTTTTCTTCATTTCACTCCACAATAATTCTTAGTAATATATTATACACTTAAAATATATTACACAATATTGCAGCAACATATTCTACACTTCCAGGCCCAAACCACATTTACCTGAGCACTGTCAGTATCCCGAATTCCTAACACATATGGGTTCCCTTCAAAAATTAACTTTGGCTTTGCTCCAGCACACAGACAAAGTTTCTCATACATGTATTCTTTCCCATCTTCAGTGACAATTTTCTGTTAAAATTGAAGAAAAAATTAATTAATCTAAGAGAATTCATCTAACTCAAGACATCTAAGACAACATCAGATTTCTTTTTGCTTAATATCATAGTATTCTGCAGATGTTAAAGGCTGTAAATGGCTTCTTAAAGAGGATCCCTTCCTGCTCTCATTGACTTGGTGTCATTTATTTGCATCACACTCACCACAGAGTTAACTACCTGACTGAAAAAATGGACAGTGTACACAGTGCACTCCAAGGAAGATCCATGTTACCACTTGATGGCACTCTGGGCTCAGTAGCTGTGCTAAAAGAACAGGATTTTGTGCCAAATGTTCCCTGTAACAGAAACAAACCTCTGGACTACTATGTACTAGCACTTAAGAATCTAATTCAAAACATTCCAACAGCAATAGACCTCTGCTAACCTGGCACAAGATACAGCTGTCATTTTGGTAATACTTCAATAACCAGAATGTTCTTGAACAGAATTTCTCACTCAAAACATACAACTGCTTCTTAAATTATTTTTTATATAAATAATCTGAAAAACTACATAGAAAAAGAAAACATTAGCTTACATGCTCATCACTTTTCAACTGTTTTACTCCAGACTGTATAACTTTAATATTGGGATATCGTTTTTCTAATAGGGAACTTGGTTGCTCTTCTACATCAAATTCCTCAAGTGTTTTGGAGACCTGTAGGAAGAAGAGAAATATTTACAAACAGGGATCATTTATCCATCTCTTTTTCTAAAGCTTGTAACAGAACATTTTGTGTTCATTTCCAGTAAAGAAGTCACAGCATTAACCTATATTGTCTGAAAACATGTTACCATGTTATTGCTAAAGTTCCTGTTTCTATACAGAACCTTTCCATCCCTTCAAAGCAGTAAAGAATTTTAATCCTAGAGATAAAGATTAAGCAAAATTGGAGAACCCTGACAATTGCTCTGACTGCTATAATGTTTTACTCCATAAATAGACTCTATTATCAGAGTTGCTAGCATTGCTCTTTAACTTCCTTGATACAGCATTAAAATCTTGTTTTTCTGTTTCAAAAAACAGTAACTTCAATAAAACAACTCAGTGATGCTCTCCCACACAAGCATCTTCCTCTCTTTGGCATTTAGGGAAAAAAATATTGGTCAAAATAGCTTAACGAATGATGGAAACACTTTTGTCTGGAATATATATTTTTATTATAGTAGAAAAAAAAATCTGGTGACATTTTCTTCAGAAACCTAATGATCTGGAAACCTCTTGCTGCAGGTAGTTGGCCTTGTGCCAGTGAAGGTGCTTCTTGTTGTGCAGCTTGTAAGCAGGACATACCAGACAAAGGTTTAGGCAAAACAGATACAAGATCACCCCAAAGCAGTTACTTAGCATCTCATCCAGAGTCATGATCTGACATCCAAGAGATTGGAGGGTAGGAAAAAACCCACAACAAATAACAACTAAACCCAAACAACACAAAACCAACAACAAATTGGCAAATTGGAACCTGGAAAACACCCAAGTTATGCCAATTTTTAGGTTCTCCCAGAAAGGAGCAGCTGCATGGAAACCTTCTACTTTATAGAACATTCAGAGACTGGAACACAGCTAGGAAGAGAAGCCACACCAGGCTTGCAATTCAGGGAGAAATCAAGATGCTCATGTTCAAAACTTCGACCCTGCTGCCTTCAAACAGTGTTTAGTCATTCCCTTATTCTTCAGATACATAAATTTCTGCTGATGTGAATTACAGACTTTACACCTCTGCACTGTGTGAATGCAATTAGCTCCTCAGTCCTACTGACATCACTGCAATCACACTGATGTGAAAAGGAGGTCAGTCAGGAGCGTTTTCAGGATTGGGGTCTAAATTATCTGCACATCTGAACTTTGAAGAGGTCTTACCATTAGAAAAATGAAGTTTCTCTTACCTGTTTGAAATTAGTCACAGCTTTTATCACTGGAGAAGCTGTCACTAATAAAATGTCTTCTGATGGAAATTCCGTGGCCAGCTTGTAAAGAAACAGAAATCAAGGTGAGAGTCACCATCAGATTTTGACTTTAAGACAATAAAACTACTCACTGAAAAGTAATATGTCTTAATACATGACTTTAGTCTCACAGAATCCTGTTGAATAAACGTTACTTCAAGATCATAGAAGGATAATGACTGAAATGAAGAGAATTTGGAGATCCAACAGTTTAAGCCACTCACACAAAAATACACCTTCAAGAACTGCAGCCATGGTATTCCACAGGATTCCAAAGGCCAACCTGTGGAACAGACTGTGACCATATGACCTCTGCAGACACCCAGTTGCTGGACACACATTTTTTTTACTGCACAGTAGAGATTGTTTACAGTTGAAATGCTGATTTCTATCAAGCATTTTTAATGTTGTTTAGTAAACTGATAAACGGATTATCACCTTCGAGGTGCTACTAAGCAATGCAAGACTTTTACAGGCCCCAAGCCAAAGGGAACTGTTCCCATTTTACATGTGCCAGAGGAAATAAATGAGATCTGTCATGCCACTCATCCCTGAGGCACAGGCAAAACCAGGGCTCCCTGTCACCAGCATCCTACAGATGAGCACAACAGCTGTATGAGCCACCGAGGAGCATGTTTTGTCTTGTACAACCACAGAATGCTTTGCAGTTTGAACAGGTAAAATGAACATCCACATCATTTCATTCAATGTCATAGGTACAAAATCACCTCCAGTTACCATTATGTTCAAACCAGCAAAAACCTTGAAAGCCAAGAAATGGACAAATTTATTTTTAGAGCTTGAGCTCAGGGAGAGCTGAGAGACTGGACAAGTTCTAAAATGTGGATCCAGTAAAAACTGAGCAGGATTTCTATAAAAAGGAGCACATTGTAGCAGCTTTCCCCTTGGCTGCAGCACAGTCCTTGGAGAGTTATCCCTCATTCCTATGAGGCATATTCCCAATTTCTATGAGGAATACTACTCACTCCTATGAGTTATGCTTCATTCCTATGAGGGATGAGGCCTGCAAGTCCTAGGACCTCTGTACCAGCACACAGAACAGCCACAGTTTTAATTTTCTTTTCCTTTTTCTCAACCCCTATCAGGTTGTTTGCAGAGCAGTTTGAACCTCCTGAGAAGTCTATCAAGACAGACTAATATCATTATATGATGACACTGCTGCCCTGCCACTGAGTTTGGGTTTTATATTTAGTTTTTTAAAGTGGGACAAAATATTTATAAGCAATCGTGGTGGGGAGGCAGGACAGAACGTGGAACTACTGTGTAAACAGGGATATTTAGCAATGACTAACGTAACTCAAGTTGTTAGAAAACCACCAGGAAGTTGAGCTTGGATTAAGGATGCACCAAATACTTCCTTATGCTAACACATATGAAAATCTTCAAGCCAACTTTGAGGAAATCAGTTCCCCCACT